CCCGACGAAGTCGAAAGTCGCCGGAGGGGACCACGGGACTGGCAGGCGCGGGCGTGGGTCCGGGGGGAGTGAAAGGCGCTGGCGTAGGAGGGGCTTCGGAGGCGATCTCGTACAGAGTGAGGGCGTCAAAGCCGCCGCAGGTCTCGGCAGTGTTTCCAGCGCAGTCCATGGTGCAGGCGGTGGAGGTCTCGGTTGACCCGAGCGATCCTGTGCACCAGCACTGAGGACGACACGTGGTTTTGGGGGGGTGGGGGGAGCGATGGCAGGAGGGAAGAAGAAGAGGACTGTGGGTAATGAATATGCGCGAATCGGGTGGGAAAATTGTGTTTGCTCATTCGTCGAAGGACGGTTCGTGTCAAGCACCGCGTGCTACACGACCAACCGCACGATGTGGAGCTGGCAACATGGCAGCATGGGCTCTGGTGGTCGAAAAAGTGCCGGAGCCGACTTCCCTCTGAAGAAATCGAATCGAGAGACCATCACCAGGAGCAGAACCCAAGGAAACGGGCCAACAACACCAGCAGTATCACGAATGCCAAAGTCAACCTCAAATTCACGCCACGCACCTCTTCCCCGTACTGGGTGCCGAAGTGGGTGTACGAGTCGTCTTGCGCTGAGCAAATCCCGAAGCAGATCTGGGAAGGAAACCATATTTTGGGGGGGGACAATGAGGAACAGGGAGCCACAACTCATCGAACGGGGGAACGAGGAAACAGCGCAGCACCTGCCCAAGCGAAGCCGTACGAGATGGTAGGCTCTTTTGGAAAGCTACGGAAGTGTCAAACAAAATCTAAATCACCTCGGAATTCGCAGTAACAGTATGGATCTCTCCGCTATCCGCAACACCTACCTCCGCAGACATGACGTCCTCCGTAAGCGGTCCCACAGGCATCACCTGCCATTCGAGAAAACAAGACGTGCAACAATCGAACGGAATAAATACGCGCGTGCGACGTCGATAAACACCAGCCCTGTCGAGGGCGGCATTGTAGCTGTGTTGCAGGGCGCGCTGCCAACTGAAAGCCGGAAAGTTACGAAGTTCGAGCACAAAATAGAAACGCTGAAAAACTTAACCTACAGGTGCTCAAGAACTCTACCCTATCAACTACTCTACATGCAGTGGCTGTTCGTTTGCTCCCACAAGAATCAAGGCTCTGTTACTCTCGCTCTTCCTCTCTCGCTATCGCGCGCGCTCCCCATCAACAACATGGGCGAGATACCCACCACTCCCTTCTGTAGCTCATCCGTATTCTCTACAAGCGTGAGGCGAGAATCATCTGTTCTACAATTCCTCACCCACCGCGAAACCTCTAACCTCCATTGATCTCTCCTCTTCGTCTCACCCTAGAGGATTGGCTGTCCGCAACACACCCGACGAAGTCGTAGTCGCCGGAGGGGACCACGGGACTGGCCGGCGCGGGCGTGGGTCCCGGGGGAGTGAAAGGTGCTGGCGTAGGAGGGGCTTCGGAGACGATCTCGTACAGAGTGAGGGCGTCAAAGCCGCCGCAGGTCTCGGCAGTGTTTCCAGCGCAGTCCATGGTGCAGGCGGTGGAGGTCTCGGTTGACCCGAGCGATCCTGTGCACCAACACTGAGGACGAGACGTGATTTGGGGGAGAGGAGGGCAACATGGGAAGAGGGAAGAAGAGCAGGCCCTTGGTAAGCGAAACGAGAACATCGACCTCGAAAAGTATGGCCCTTCTTCGGACGCTGGGTCGTGTCGAGCCCCTTGGTTCATGCGCACCCAGACGATATGGGGCCTAGGTCACGGTGGTCAAGTGCCAGGGTCGTCTCTTCTATTCGGAAATCGAATCGAGCAAGGCCGGAAGACAGTCACCAGGATCAGCACCACCAACAAAGGCAACGGCATCGCATCAACAAGAGCGGTATAACTAGTATCAAAGGGCCGCAACAAATACAATAGCCGACGCTACCCACCTCATTCCCGTACTGGGTACCGAAGTGGGTGTACGATGCGTCCATGCCCGAGCAAATCCCGAGGCAGATCTGCGAAGGAAAGACAAATGGGGCGGGGGGTTGGAAGAGCACACAAGCGAACGCGAGCGGGAACAAACGAATGCAGCAGCTCGCTACGTAGCGGACAGGAGAGGACACGTTCCGAAGGATAAGCGGGAGCATCGGATCAAATACGTTCACCCCGGAGATCGCAGCACACGGAACACTCCACTCACAAGCGCGAGGCTCGCGAACTACATACCCAACTTGTGTGCGGGATCCTACAGCAGTCGGACACACGACTGTGGCGGTTAGAACTTTGTTCCACCTGAGGGCCAGCACAAAGCACGCTTAACCCAGGTCTGCAGGAAAACGCCCCCAATTTACAACGGAGTGGGGGTTGGCAATGAAAAAATCTTCCCGTGATCCGCAACACTTACCTCCGCGGACATGGTGTCGGCCGACATCGGTCCCTCAGCCATCACCTGCGAGTCGAAGAACGATGACGTGCGAGACCCGAATGAATTAACTTAAAGAGCAGTCGTCGTTCAACGAACAACATTAAGTTCGGTATAGCCGTCCTGGAACGTGCCGGCACTTCGCGCCGGGATTTGAAGAGGTTCTAACACAAATTTGAAAAAATTACAACAAAGGGTGCTCAGCTACGACCTCTACACTAAAACCTCCAGACGACTGGCCTCACAGAGGAAACAAGCCGGGATTTTCCTGTATAGAAGGAGGTTCTTCCAACATGTGGTGGCGCGCATACGTATTGAGCACTTGCGTCACCAACTCTCTTTTTCAGTTGCGCTTTCGTTTTTGTGGTTGCGATTGACCCACAATTTACCGTTGTTTTCTTCCCCACTCGGCGCTCTATCATCTTTCCCATCGGCACGACACCCAACCCCTGTTTACTGGCTAATAGACGGCATCAGTTGAGAGTTGTCTTCCTTACACGTGCTCAACAACCACGAAACCTCAAAACTGTATTCATTCCCTCGTTCATTGTCTCACCCGATCGTCCTGGCTGTCGGCCACGCATCCGATGAACTCGGAGCCAACGGGAGGGTCGCCTGAGTCGTCGTCGCCGCCACCGGTGCTGCCGTCGAGGGAGTACACCGAGATGTGGTCGTCGGTGCCGCACAGCACGCGGGAGTCGCCGGAGCACAGGTACTTGTACTCGGGGACGTCGCCGCCGAACGTGATGTCGATGCCGCACACGGAGCCCCCGTCGCCGTAGACATCGTCGGTAGGGCTGCCCACCAGATCGTCACCGCACAGGCACTGGAGAAGAGGGGCGTGGTCAGAGCGGATCAATGGGGAGGTAAAGGCGGGGAAATACTCACGATGATCATACGCCGCCTCCAAGTTTCGTGTGGACATTGGCCAAGGCCGGGGCGAAGCGACTCGTGTTTCTCGTGGACCGTTCATGTCTAACAATTTCACGGGGGGAGGGGGGGGGGGGGGGGGGGGGGGATCCTCAAACGGCGGGA